ATATATATATATAAAGTAAGCCTTCCGTTCTGGGCAGCATTGGTAAGACCTCAACAGGGAAACTGTGTCCAGTGCTAGTACTGCATTTTGAGGAAGATGGTCAACTGGAGAAAATGCAGAGGAAAGCAATGGGAATGATGAGAAGCAAAAGAAACATGACCTGTAAGAAAAGATTGCACAAGGTTGTTCAATCTAGAGAAGAGGAGACTGACACCAATCTTAAAATACATAAAAAGCAGCATCAGAGCAGAAGTACTTCACTCCTCATGTCCATGGAGAGTAGGACAACAGGGAATGGTCTTCAGCTGCAGGAAAGGAAGTTTAGGATCAGCATCACAAGAGAGGTTTGATGGCAGGAATAGTGGAACAGATTGCCAGAGGTGATGATGGAATTTATGTAATAGGAAGCATTTCAGGGTATAACTGCCTTGCCTTAGGACAGGTGCATGGTCTAGACAGACCCTTGAAATTCCTTCCAGTCTTGTCTACAGTGTTTGCTTATTAGAGCTATCACCTTCCTCACTGTGGAAAGGAGAATTTATCTTTTTCTATCTCCACTGTATGCACTTTTCCTAACTTGTGAAGCACTGGTTCCCTGCCTGCTTCCTGAACAATAAGCCACAAACAAACTAGGAATTCTCTATTTAACTATGCAGATTTTCAGTTTACATTGCAAACAGCAGCATGTTTTGTTGTTTGCTGTGTTTGGGATTTTTTTTGCAAACAGCATGAGAAAGCAACAGCCAGGTTACATTTATATTAATAAATAAATAAAGCATTCTGGAGCAAATAGCACTGCATAGATCATATGTGTACACAGCTAAACTCTTTCAACACCCTCCCCCCACCTCCCTTAAAAAAACCCACCAAAACCTAAAAATCAGTCTGGCTTTCTCCACTGTCTGTATTAGTAAAGACTTGGCTCTGCTGTTCCTCACACCAAGCCCGAGTGTTGCGTGACAAGAGTTGCAGTTGGCATGGGTCAACATTGTATTGAGAAGCATGGAAACATTAAACACTTGGCATGATTGTGAGACAGTGCTTGAACCCTTGTCCTGGCCCTATTTAGTTTACTGGTCTAGGCATAATCCCAGAAACTAGTTTGTGTCATTCTGTTCCTTGAAGAAGAATCTATTTCATTAGAGAAATTCAGGTAATTGATTTACAAGTGTTAATGTCTGTAATAGCAATTACGTCATCAGATACCTCTTTTTTTCTTCTACCTTAACAGAGTTTAGGAGTGGAGACTATACAACCTCCATCCCCCAAAGTGTCCAACAATGAATTTAGCTTTACAGTTGGTTTTAAAGATTTAAACGGTAAGTAGCTGAATCGACTCTTTCATGCTTTTTATGCTTATTTAAAATACCTTACAGCAACACATGAGAAAAAAACCCCAAACTTCAAACACTCTTGATCAAAAAAACCCCACCCAAAATAAAAAAAATCTGTTTGGCTGGAGGGGGAGGTATATTTGTGTGTCTCAATTTAGGAAACTTCAAAGGGGGCAAATTTTTTTTAAAGGGACATTGCTTAGTCTTACATAGGAGTCAGACTTTTTAGAATGGCTGAGTGTAAAGGAAAACAAAACTGAGGAGCCTCCCAAATCTAAAATGCAACCTTTTTTATGTAAAGATTTAAATTAATAGAAGATGAAGTTCCTCAGTGTGAGGTCAGAGCTGCATAAGCATTTTTGTCCAGTGGAAGTATCGGCTTCAACTGCTTCCACTTTACATTGCTTATTCGCATTCTGGTTTGCACTGTCACTTTCACATGTACAGCTTATTGAAGCTGCGTGATGAACCAAATGAGGGAATTTATCCTAGTTTAAAAAAAGAACCCTCCCTTTGGTTTTGTTTGTGGTCAGTTTTTTTGTTTGTTTTTTTTTTTTTACTGGGGGCTGGTTGGTTGCATTTGCCTGAGTTGGTTTTAACCTGTGTTTTTGTCCCAGAATCAGTTCACTATTAAGCTACCTAGTGTCTCTACCGGCAAAGTGGGTTGAAGTTTATAAATAGAGAGAATCATAAGCCAACTTCCCACTGAAAATAAAAGCTGATGAAAATACTCTATTAACAGATAAAGCAGAGTAAACTGAGACAGTCTAGTGACATATTCACACTTAGTCTGATGAATTATCTGTTCTTTGGTGGACTGTATTAGCATTTCTGAGTATCTAGTTCAGTGCTGTCCATCCCTTTCCAAAATGCCACTTAAAGCTTTCCCAATTTGTGATTTTTATTTTTTTTAACTAGACTCTACAAAGAAATTTAAACCCCTGAATCTTTTGGTTCTTAAAGAACCCTTATCTTCTAGAAAGCTAAATCATCCTACAGGATGTTATTCCACAGGATCTCTTATACCATGACTAGTTCAAATAACTGAAGAAGAAATTGTGTATGAAGTTCCAATATAGGTTTTTATCTTATAGTCTGACAGAGTATTGATAGAAAGCAAAAGCTACAATATTTCTATCTGGTTGATAAGATGCTTTTGAAAAGAGACTGTTGTCTTTGTTCTTTGCTTAAAGGATCCTCAAAACCCTGTATATTACATGAGATGTTGATTCCACAATTACTGATGTGCTACAAATGATACCATACAAATTCTTGTGTCTTAGAACTCTCTGATTCTGGTTCATGTTAATTTTAGAGTTGTAGAATTGTAGTAATATATGAAGATATTCTTGATCTAGGCCTCAGTTACACGGTTTGTTGTGTGCTATACTAAAACTTGCTAAGCATTTTTTTATGTAGTTAAGTAAATAGCCTAATGGGAGCTAATGGAATTTCTTGCATCCATATCACTAAGCATGTACCCAGAAACCTTGCTGGATCAAGGCCAGGTTCCACAGCATCATAAGGGCCTGAGACACTATCACTGAAAATGAAGCTTCCTGTCCTGTTTAATTTGTAGTCATAGAGTTCCTTGTACTCTGAACTTCAGTATGACCAGATTAATGGCTATTTCTAAAACACATTTGTTTTCTTGAACCCATTTAAAATGTTGTTTCCTTTCCCATAACCCTTATATCTTACAGTAACCATGCGTTCTGCAATTTAATCTCTACTGAACTGGAAACATAGTGTTTTGCATTGCACTCTGACACATTTTGTTGTTTTCTTTACAGAATCTCTAAGTGCCCTAGAGGACAAAGACCTGGATGCTCTAATGGCTGATCTTGTAGCAGACATAAATGATGTTGAACAGAGAACTTTACAAGCCCAGAAAACTTCTTCTGCCAACCAGCAAAGTGTGGTCACTCAGCCTTCAACAGCCTTGGATAGCAACATTTGTTCTAAATCAAGTCCCTATGTTACCATTACCGGACGGTTTGGGGATGACTTGCCCCCTCCACCTCCAGACCCTGATTCAGACCTACCACCACCACCGCCGCCTCCTCCTCCTGAGCCACTCACCCAGGTAAGCCTGGGTGGAGCTTTGTTCTAAGTGTTCAATTGTTCTTATAATTTTGCAAGTGGTATTTGGCATTGGAACAACAGTGGATATCCCAGGTAGAAACATCGTGGGAAGGTTCTGCAAGGATGCAACATGCATGAACTGTGGGGTGGGAGTTTTCTGTTATTGTGGGCTCAGCAATTTCTGCATGTTCCTTGACCTATTGCCCATTCCTTTGCCTTTCTAATCATTTTGATAGCCCAAGACAGGCATAAATCATTGCAAATGGTTTGCTGTAACAGAAAACTTGTCACTGAATTTTTTTAATAAGTGCTGATCAGTTAATACCTTCTCATAGAGAACTTGGCTTTGGCATCAGTGCAAAGCATGGCCAAAGATCCCACAGTTTTGTGAAGATGTCACTGTGTTTGTTCAGTGCACTCTGTGCTATTGGTACTGATGAGATGGTTCTGGGGATGTTTCCCAGATCCATCCCTGGCCTAACTGATTTCTTGCAATAGGAAAAACTGTTCAGTTTTGTAAAACTCAACATTTGCTAGGAGACTGGGTACAAAGCTGAGCACAAGAAGTACCTCTCCTAATCCCAACACAGAATCACTCTGCTCTTCTTGGTCTTGTCTTTGAAGGGAAGTAATGAAGACCATCTGCAAGATGGGACAAATGCTTTTTACTTAGGAGATGTCGAAGTTATCAGTAGGTACTATTTATAAACAATTGGCTTATCGGTACATTAAAATTTCAGACTTAGCACAACCTCCTCCATATTTGTGTTTGTTGCAGAGCTGTTTTAGCAACTGAAATCAAACATGATATTTCTAGTAGAAGCATTAGAAGTTCATTTCTTTGACATGAGGTTGTGGAGAGGGAGATAATATAAGAATCCTGCCCTGTCACAGCCCTGTGAGGAGACTATGTCCATTAGAAGAGTGATACAGCCCAAAAAACATGAATCTGAAATCATGAAAGATATAAAAGTATCTCTTTCAGCATTCATACGCATAGTAACTAAGATGTTTACATTTAGGGAATGGAAAGATTTTAGAGAATGTGAAAAGTGCTCTGTCAGCCCCTGTAGAACTCTATGGGTCAGTTTTGCTTAAAACCATGGGCAATTCATTGCGGTTTAAAAGTCCACACAAACTGAATATGAATCACTTCAATATCACTGCTGCCTCTGTGTTTAGCATCATACAGCAAACATTTAGCAAAAGGAACAGAAAATTTGTTAGGAAGAGGACCTTTCTGATTATACAAAAAGTGATTCACTGGATAAAGCTTCATTTGGTGCATAGGACCTTTCAATGCTGTTTGAAGAGTGAAAGTCGAAAGCATGGAAAGAACTTCACCATTTTTCTGTATCTCAAAGATAGTTAACTTCCGATCTTAAAGGAATATCAACATTTGCAAAAACAGCAGCTAGACAGCTTCAGAAGCTGAAGTATTTTATTTAGCTAGTATAATTGATATAGAAGAGATACTATCAAGGTAAGTTCTATCCATTGTCCTACAAACACGTCCCCATCTTGATTTAGACTCATGACCTTTAAGGAAGTATTAAGCTTCTAAATAGTCTTGTTTGGAAGCTGAGGAATTATAGTCTGGAAGGGTAGCTGGTTAGGTGGGCTGAGATTGACCAAACTGCCAGACTCAAGGGGTAGTAATCAATGGTTTGCTGGCTGATAGCAAGTTGGGGCTTGTATTCTGTAACATTTTCATCTGTGACCTGAGTGATGAAGATGCTTTTAATTAAAGGCACTGACTGACAAGATGAATGGCAGGGGGACTTTGAGAAATGTGAGGACTGGGCCTGCAAAGCCTTTAGAAACCAGCAAGGTACAAGGTCCTGCACCTGGGGTGGAATAATGCCATGCATTTGTACAGTCTGGGAGGCGGCAGGCTGGAGGATGCCTTATTCTTGAATAAGAACCATGCATGCAAAGTCATCACAGTATGGGAAACTGGCCTGTGTTGGGAGGAGCATGGCCAGCAGACTCAGGGAGCCATTATTCCTTTCTCTTGGCACTGGTGAGGCCATACCTGGACTACTGCACTGTTGCAAATGTGATTTTGTTACAGGGCTTTGGTTTAGCATTAATTTAGGATTTATTAATATTTGAGATAGATCACAATATTAGATTGTATAATTATTAATAGCACTTAATCATTAGCCAGTTTAGCAGAATGATTCAATTGAATTTGTTACAGTCAAAATAGTGACTTAGTTAAAGATTCGAAAATGGCAAGGGTCACCCAAAACTTACAGCAGGGTTGCACACACAGATAGGGGTTAAATCAAGTCATATGTACAGACAGGCAGACAAACAATCCTGGATCCAATTACACACACACACAAACACAAATAGACAAATAGTTCTGAACCAATTGCACCCACACACAGAGAGGTTAACCTATGATTAAAATTTCCCTTTTTGTGAGTTCCATAAATTACTCACTTTTATGTGCCAGCATTCATCAACGGACAGTCAGTGAACCTTGTGAAATCAGGCCTTTGGGTCCTCGCCAAATCATTGATGCACGATCTTTGAATCCTCACAAAATCTACCCTGAGAGGTGTCCCAGCTCAGGGGGAGATACTGGGTCACACAGCCCACGGCGGTTCTGGAGAGCTCAAAGGGTCTCACTTTTTGAATCGTTCTTTATAGGATCTAGAGATGATTGGCTTTGGTCAGGATTCTCCATTCTGTCCACAGTCAGTGCTGAGCCATTCTAGTAGACAATTCAGACTGAAGATGGCCCAGGTGTGGCCAGCAGGTGCCTGGCCACCCCAGCTCCAGGCTACTGCACTTGCAACCGAAATAACAGCACGAGGCTGGTCCAGATGTACTATTCAGGCAGCAGATGGCCTGGATGTGGCCAGAGTGCCTGACACCAAAATCACTGTGCTTGTATCCAAGATAACAGTACAATGGGGCTTATCCTGAGATCTCAGAGTGGCCCAGGGGGCTGCACCACCACATGTACCCCATTCTGGATGTCGAGATACTGGAGATTGTCCAGCAGAGAGCTACTGGGATGGCCAGGGGCACAGAGTGATCAGGGGCCAGCAAAATAATGGCTGACCTGATCACCTGTTGATGACAGTCCTGCTTTGGGCAGGGAGCCAGACTACAGACCTCCAGACCTCTTGTCCAACCAGCGCTGCCATGATGCTGTGATCTAAAGCTCACTGAAATCAACAATGCTGCACAGTTCTTTCCCTTGAGTCTTGTACTGAGCTAGTTATTAGCTAGCATCCTGCATTACCTGAGGGTCAAACAAGATTTCGGAGTGAAAAGAGGATATCCTTGCTAAACACAACTGGAATTCTATATGCAAAAATGTAGCTGGAAGTCACTTCTGTCTCCCTCAATTAAAGTGTTCCCCTGAGATTGTGTGCTGAGTTAAATCTCTAGCAGTGTTTTCTGGTCTCTTTCCAGATACAGGGAGAGGGCAGAGAAGGATGGAAGCAGGACGCAGAGGCATTTCTAAGGAATCTGTCTGCAGTAGTTGATTTCCCCATTAAGGCACTGGTTCTGCTTTCTCCTGCAGCTGTTGCCTCATTTTCTGAGGTGTATTCAAATACTGATGGCATACCCATTGTATAGCTTACTGTCCAGAAAATTGCCTGTAGGGCTATTACACAAGTTGCAGTGTTAATGACAGAGGTAATAACCATTTAAAATTAGCATAGAACTGATTTCAAATTAGTATTTACTGTCTTGGTTAGTATTTACTTTGACACGACATTTCTGCTCAGTAGAATGAAATGCAGCTGTAAATGGAATGTATTTTGTTTCATCAAAATCCATGTTCCTGTTAGCCAGGATTCTTGAGAAGTGATTCTTGAGCCAATCAAGGCTGATGTTTTGTTTAACACTTCTGGTTGTCTGTAGTCAAATAAGAATAGTATTAATTATTCCCAATGCACCTGTGATACTAAGACTCTATTCGCTACCCTTTAAGTGTGCCAAAATTAAGAAGTACAGGCTTGCTTTCAGGGAAACATAGAACTGTCTCATAAGTTTCCATCAACTCTGACATTTCTTTTTAAAACTGTCCTTAAGCAAAATAAGGCTTCTACATTTTCTATGACATTATCTGAATGAATTTTATGTGCTTCTGTTTGAAGACTAATTTGAAGATCCAGAAAACGTAGTGATGATACTGTAGTCGGAAAACAAATCTTGTGGCCTGTCAAAACATTTCTTTAACAGTGCTAAAATTTTGCATCTGATAGCTTATTTACTTTGCATCATTTCCTTTTTCTACATTAAGACAGACAAAGGTTATGAAAACATGAAGTCTCTCAGGTGAGAGCTCTGTTGCATGCTTGAAGCCATGTCTTTCAGGTTGCATACCTCACCTTGTATTTTTGACATCCTAAAGGATGCTAATGTGCTAATGTCCAGGGCAAGCAGTGATAAAACAAAAGATGTTTAGTTCTCTTTTTTTGCTATGATTCTATGATATCTCTGTACTAAGGAAGTGGTGGCGATGCTTAGTTAGGCCTAGTTTCTTGCAAGTGCATCTCCCATGCGTTGCAGCCATCCTGGGTTTCTCTTAGTCCAAAGACCGCTAAAATTATGACTTTAGGGTAGAAAATGGAGGCTGAAGGTAACACAGAAATAAATCTTGTGTGGAAGCAGGGCAAGAACTTTATCCCCCAGTTATTGACTGGAAGTTGGGTGTGCTATAACACAAAATCCTACCTCTTTAGAACAAAGGAAACTGCGAAAGTGAGAGCGAGCAACAGGGACAGTAAAAATCAGCAAAGAGGCAAGAAAGCAAAGACAAGATAGTTTTCAATAGGGGGAGCAGGGATTTAAAGTTGGAAAGAAACTGAACCCTGCAGGAGTACTAACAGTCCAAGGCAGCCCCAGGAACCACAATTACTTGCTGTCCAAAATGTACTTTTCCAACTCTGTATGTGATTGGGGGAGGCTACTGGAAGATGGATGGCAAAAAGGAGCGATCACAATCTATACACCGGTCACAGAGGCAACAGGAGGCGCTGGCACCTGGTACATGTACCTAAAACTCTCAGCAGCTGTGGATCCAGAGTCGTCTTGGATCACAAACCTCACTGATACTAAGAATGATATTGATACAGCTGCTTTGTAAGAGAAGAGCTGGGTGATACTGAGATTTTTAGGAATCTTACTGTGGCATTCAGCAAAAGCTGGAATGAACTTGAGTGCTCTGTCTAACTGTGTTTGTGTTAAAATCAGTAGATCCATTACTAGAATAAAAAGCTATGATATCATCCAATTTAAGGAAGTGTTCCTCTCAGTAAGTATGCGTGCAGTAAGAGCTCGTACGTGGCAAGTGAAAGAATTTAAGTAAATTAATGTACTTAACGTGTAAAATTGTAGGTGGTATAATTGCAAGCCAAGTTTTCAGTAAGATCCTAAAAACTCTAGTTCTCTTAACTCTATTGAGAGGCAAGTTGTCTTCCAAGTGGCTGCATCCACAGTGCTGTTTCATTCAGGCTTCCTTCATCTTCTCTTTTGTATCAGCTGTAACCCATATGGGAATATAGAAGAGTCCAGTTTTCAGGCAGTCCTGTAGCAGTTGAGGAACAGATCATGTAAGAGCTGTATGACTGGGCACCAAAAGGAAGCACTGGACTTGTAAATCAAAGCTTTGGTTAGAGGATATTAGCTCAAGGAAAGCTGGGGATTCCCTGTTACTATGAAGTTTCCCATGACAAGCCTTATGTTCTGGATATAAATAACAAGAATCAAATCTTTTCAAGTAAACATAAGTTGCTGGCCTTACTTAAGAAGTATACCAATTATCTTGTGTCTTTTCAGGAAGAACGAGAGGCACAGGCTAAAGCTGACAAGATTAAACTTGCGTTGGAGAAACTGAAGGAAGCCAAAGTTAAAAAGGTGAGCCTTAAAATAGTGAAATGCTACCATAAGAACTACCAGCTAAGTATCTTACCATTCTTCTCAATAATAAAGTTCTTACTAAAATCACTAGGCTTTTCCATATTTCTTCTGTAACTTAAGACATCTAAAGATACTCTGTGGAGCTGTCTTGTCATCCACTTGAAGAGAAGTCTCTTGGAAAATGCTGCCTCTGAGGGACTTATTTTTAAGAAGACTGGAAGGCTCTGTCTCTTTTTTTTTTCCGAATGTTGGGGCAAAGCCCACTGTTATGATAGGTTGCTTTAGAGAAAGTGGAATGTACATTAAAATGTTGCTTACTTATGCTCTGGTGATTCTGGAAGTATTAATCTTTTCTTCTGCAGTGGATGTGGATTTAGCTAACCCAATTAAATTAATGAGGGTCTTGCTAAATCCTTTCACAGCGGTGTAGTAATGTACAAGGATAATAGAAATTATTTTAGACCAACAAATTAGAAAGCTTCCAGCCAGTGTCTGTGCAGTACTGCAGTGCATCATGTAATTATGCCCACTCATCCTAAGCTAGTGTTCCAGTGGAACTCAACAGAAGCTGCAGATGTTCAGTAACTCTGAAAAATGGATGTGAAGAAAAAACTATCATGTCCTATCAGTGTTGCTGAAATAGGAGATGGGAGGTGTTGGAGGTCAGAGCCCACAGGGCTCCCAAGAAGAATTGAAGCTTCCAATAAATTTGGGGGTGTCCAGACTTGCCATGGTTCCCACATCTTTATGTTCATGTACAAATGCTAGTTCTGTGAGAATGTGCTGGGAGGATTTCAGCAATGTTGTTTCTGGAAAGGTCTATAACTAAACTTAGGACTGCTCATTGGTCACGCTCTTTTCCTTGCAATGTTAGCAATTCTCCTATGGTAGGAAGCATTTATTTTGAAGACTTTTTTTCCACTTCTTTTTTTCTCACTCTGAATATTTGGAACCATAGGGTAGAACTAAGGCTTAATCTTCTTATGGCTATGTCACTATAATGAAATTACTATGTCATTCTTGAATTCTAAACTGACTAAATAATTGTCAAGAAAACCAATCTCTCTTTTACAATCTGAAGGTTTTACAATCTCAGGTTAATTTGGTCAATATTAAAACTCATCTGTTTGCTTATTGATGGGCGTTGGACTACTGTCCATCTTTGTGCAATCTAATTTCAGATTAGTGTGTTGGCATGGCAAGATTCTTCCATTCTTTTTCTCATTTAAAAATAAACTTCCCACATTTCTAGCTTGCATTAAGGGCACTTTGTCCTTTTGTACTTGGTTTCCCTATCAAGAATTTTCCTTAATTGCACATCTAGTAGATTTAGAGAAGAGATTAACTCCTGCTTTTTCTCCTTAGCTATTTCACCTTTCGTGAAGTCATGCACAGGACAAGGTTCAATTTCCTTTTTTGAGAAAAGATCTTTATTTTGGTGGCAGTATAATGTGAAAGCTTCCAAGTTGTTTTATTCCCTCAGCTTGCTGTGGGACAGGGTGCCTTCGAATCAGTAATAACTTTCAGCTTTAATCTTTCTTATCTATGTTAGCAGATTCAGACTAGCCTTTTACTTGCTTCTGAAATTAACTGACTCTTCTGTGACTCTGTACTCAGCTTGTTGTCAAGGTGCACATGTATGATAACAGCACAAAGTCACTAATGGTGGATGAGCGTCAGGTGACACGGGATGTTTTAGACAATCTCTTCGAGAAAACGCATTGTGACTGCAACGTTGACTGGTGTCTGTATGAAATGTACCCAGAGCTGCAAATTGGTAAGTGGCATAGTGACGGAGCATATAACAAATATATATACTGCAACCTATGCTATCGGTAAACTTGAAAAGATAATTAATAATGTTTCTCCTGCCGATGTATCTGCTGGTGTTGGAACTTTGCAGTCTCTAAGCTGAGGGATGCTGCAGGAATGTACTTAGGCCACTTGCTGTAGAAGTGAGCCTTTCATTCATCTGTGCTGTGAGCTGCAGAAGGCTCCTTGCTCACCACCATTTCCATTATTCTGTTGTACACAAAATGAAGGGGCTGTGTGAATTTCACTGTTTGTCGAGGAAGTGACAGACCCAAACGCACCAGCATTCAAGTCTGCTCTTTGAAGAGAGGATGCAGTGCTGAAGTGGTGTCAGCAGGCTGTTACATACTGGCTGAACAAATGTCATAATTAAAGAAGACAATTTGAGAAGTGTTTCAGTTATTTCTAATGCTTTTCACTTGTGACGGTCATTTTTTTATGTGTAAGTTGTGAACAGGATATTGCTCTCTCACGGGGCTGCAGGTCTGCTGGTGGTAGCTTATGATTTAGGAAGTAACTGACCTCCAGGTCCCTAGGAAACAGCTATGCAAAACTTTATTATTATTTGGTGCAACTTAGTGAGATTTGTTTCCAAAAGGCCTTAAGGCCTGATTAAGAATGAGATATTCCTAATCGTGAGTTATTTCAGAATTTTTTTATTGTCCAGGCTACAAAGGTATTCATATCAAAAGGAAAGGGAAGCTTGCCACAACTTTCTTCCAGGGTAGCTGACCTGGAGAAAAGGGAAATTGTCAAACAGCCTTTAGCATTCTCAGTTTACAAACTCCCAGCAGAGATGCAAAAACACACAAACAAAGCTAAATATCAATATTGCACTTTAAAGGAGCCCCAGGAATAACCATCCTGCTAAACTAAACCAAAGACATGTAAAAATAGCTGGAAAAAGCCTGACTGCTCATAAGCAAGGAGATATTCATCTACTTGTAAGAATGGCAGAGACACTAAGTGCCAATCTGTTCTTTCTACTCCATTAAGATGATACATGAAGCAATGTTGCTGCATTCTTTTGTACCTGATTAGCTTAACTAAGGAAAGACTGGAAATGTCATTAGACCCTAGAAATGTCACAGATATCACTTTGAATAATGTTAGAGCGTTTTCTTGTCTTGGAAAGTTGCTCCCTCTGGTCTAGCATGACTTGGACAAACATTTCTGAGTGTTCGGATGACAGCATATAAACAGATTGTTTTCTGAATCCCCATAATTATTAAAAAGAATGTACCCATGTTTCTTCATAATCTGGACAAAAATTTTTAATTCCCCATCGCACAATTAAAACTGAAAGTATCAGAGACATCATATGCTACAAACATTGGAGTTAATAGTTAGACACTTTTTTTTTTAAAGTAAAAATTACTTGTGTTACTTTAGTCCCAGCTAATGCTATGTGGTTTGCACTGTCTTGATATAGTAAGGAATTACTCTCATAATGAATAAAAACTATTTTAAAAGCTGGGACGGAAGAAGAGTAGGAAAGGTAATAAATCAGTAGCTGGTTGAGGAAAAAAGGAAAAATCTATAAATGGATGCAGAAGTCTGTCACCAGGTCCAAATCAGCTGGGAATGGAGCCTTCTTGTTTGCAGAAGGGAATTTAGATATGGATGGAATGGTACATATTCTTTCTTCTGCTTCCAATGCACAGCAACATGCAGTTAATTTGGCTCAAAAGCAAAACAATGAGAACTATTCTTTATTCTTGTCAGTATACTTATTGCCAGTTCTAGATAGCTCTGTTACTATAAGCGTGCTTAGAAGACAGACTTTCCTGTCCTTTCCCTTTCTACCTGCTTTCTATGTTAGTATTCAAGAGAATAAAATTATATTTACTTGAAGAAGCAAATCCAAGCAGCAGATATTTCAGACTGAACTGAAAAGTCCAAGCTAGTTTTATATCAGAAGATCCTTGACAGAGTATCTTACATGTACTGTTACTTTGAAAGGTGATCATTGCAAATAAAATAAACTACAGTTTTAGATTAATTGCATGATAAGTATCACAAGTAATCTCAGTAGTGAGATGGTAATATAACACTGGGCTGTACATAGCAGCATGTATTTTGCATTAAAGATGTCTTGTAATAGACATCCAGATGTTAGTAATTATAATTATAAATTATTATTATTAT